ATATTTGAGAGCTTGATCATCAAATAAAATAATAATAACAATGAATGTATTGAAATAAAACAACCACTAATTTTAAAATCAGATGAGATTAAAACCTAATTTCATTTCATTTAACCCATGTGCTCGTGTCGTGGGAAGATACTCACCATCGTCTTCAAGCAAACTACAAAAAAGAGGAAACACAAACATCTTAGATCAAACAAATGAAACAAAAAAAATCACACGTGTTTCACAAAATGAGCTAAAACATTTTGTACCTATAAAAATAACAACATTAATATAAAATCTCTTTCACCTGTCCCTGCTGTCAGACTCTACACTGAACATCATCGGGGGGTCTGGAGGAGGTGGAGGTAAATCTAACGTCTCCCTTTTTATCAGCTGGGGCATTTTTCTCTTCACCGCCTCGTAGTCGATGTCRACACATGTGTTGCTGATGTATCCGTCTGCACAAAACCAAGACAAACACACACACTGAGGTTTCAACATGACAGTCAGTTAACATGGACAGACAACTGATAGGTATTTCTTCCACTAAAAATGTTATTTTAGTTTATAAAAAATGTGGAATTCAGTCCACAAAAAAACAGAAAACGATAGATTAGCAGGAGAGAAACTTGTCACTAAGTTAAGGATTAAACATTAMTAGGATTTCTCCAATCTGAAGATTTATTTAATGCTTAACAAAGTTCTCAATTAACCAAAAGTGAGAGAGAAACCCATCAACACTGTAGCAGATTAAGACTTTTATGCAAAAACACACACTTAAATGCTCTTCTTATGGAGACACGTGGAAACAAAGTCTTAAATAAGATTGTTGGACTCAGTTTAAACTGTCTGTACCCTTGATAACGTGATAGATTGATGGCTGAATTTCCCAGATTGAAACATTTAGTCTTTCTTTTAAAAAAAATCACATAAGTCACAGTCCTCTCTARAAATCTCGTAATTTACCTGTGACCTGTTTTTCTATAGGAAAACGTTGCTTTAAATGTTATCTTAGCTACCGTTTGCAATACTTGTGACATGTTATTTTTTAATGTTATAATCTGCCCTGTGAATCAAGCGTCACTCATGTTGCATTAATTCTTTGATGTGTTTTGTGTGTGTTAACACGATGCAAGAACAAAGCTAATTGTGTCAGGTCACCATTAATGTATCGTGTTTTAATATTAAAGTTTCTAACATGCACAGCCCTTTTTCTTCAGGTAAATTAATAAAATAAATGTTTTTTTTCCAGTGTATTGCTGTTGTTGTGTTGGACTGCAGAGCTYTCTGATGTTTTGTAAATTTTGTGGCCAGAAATTTGTAACAACTTGTAATGCTTTTTATCTGTGCAACATGCAGTGGACTATGCTGCTATTATATAAAGCATACAATACTCTCAGCTTAAGAGAGGCTTGTTTCACACTTATATTTGACACATTAACCACTGTCACAGCATCAAATTTAAACCTGAAGGAACCACAGAAAATGTTTTTTTTTTCATGTCGCTGTTGTAGAGTTTTGTCTTTTATTGAGGCTCCAACAGGGGTGTCACAAGGTTTTATGGACAAGGGGGGCTTAGCCCCCAGGAAATGCATATAATTTTTGAATATTACATATTTGTATTGTGTATATATATATATATATA